CGGAGATTCGATGGATCAACGGGGAAGATAACCCTGCTGATGCTTTGACAAAAGTGTCACCGAATCGTGCCCTGGAACGATTCATCGATAATAATGAGTTAACGATTCGAATTGAAGGATCGGTAATAAGACCGTAATATTAGTCAGTAAGATATGGCAGACGGGGGCTTTCTATTCAGTGCTAGTTCATAAAGAAAAGATTGCCGGTGTGGGTTAATAAGCTTGGTCAAAGCTCGACGGAGAGAGTATCCATCATGACGTCAAATATTATCACGTGTTCTAATGTTAACGATTACTCTTGTATAACTTATGTAGATGATGGAAGACGTAGAGGAACACATATACATTTTCGAATAACCAACCTGACATTTGTCGACCCTTGTGATATCACATTGTAAGACCTTCCAACAGTTATGGTTGTATTTATTACTTACTTAGGAGTATAGAAGGTAAGGCGTTTGGAGATCTTAGATACCCTGTATTAGTAGTTCCGTATTAACGCATAGACGAGGCTGGCAGACAGATATTAATAGGAGTATGGGCGCAGCATTGAAGGATGCTCCGATCGCGAGAATCATACACGATAGATTAACTCAATACTTCATCAATTCTACTTCCAGTACTTACGTACCACTCGTATACAAGAATCTTATTCTAATACTTTTAACGTTTTTTTTTGTTCATTAACGTGCTCGGTTAAGTGACTACCGTTGCACTCCTGCTGAGGCTTAAGCACGAGTGGGCCCGGGCAGGATCAGGTTAACTACCGTAAAGTACTTTTTCATTTGCATCAGATTTTAATTGCGTATGCAGCTATCTAGCTATGACACAATATCAAAGAAAAGTACAGAATAGATGATTCAACGTAAAGGAAGAGCACTCATGCCTCAGATTTCATTTGCAAGTACCACTGCGAAGTTATGGTGGCTTTTTCTTCACCCCAAGTCAACCCTCATCCGTGAATACCCACCCAGGGGAACGTCTCCAAAACCCCGAGTTGTCCAGACATGCCTCCGTCATCCATTTACTTTTCTCCGCGCGAAATGTGATCTTAGGTGTCTCCTTCCCAAGTGGAGTAGGTGCCCAGGCTACCTAAACTATACTGGAGACCACCACCCGGAGGCGGACCACTGCACTATCCAACTATACTAGTGTTGAAGTATCGCCTGCACTCTCGCAATGAAAGTGGTGCAGCGCACAATGCTCAATTTGCATACCCCAGTCTAAAATTGTGTTCAGCCCTAGTTTCATCTTCTCTACCTACCCTGATATCTCTCACGTCCATCCCGAAAATCTGCCCGCCAGATTCGTGCACCATGAGTTTTGAAATACTGCGGGCATTTATATTCACATGGGTGCGTGAAGTGCTATGTTAACACAGTAAGGCCAGGGTATGAAGTACCAACACGGTGTATATCTTACATGTCCGAGAAAACATTCGATACGATGGAGGACGAAGGCGGAACACCTATCAGCAGTGTCCTCTACGAACCTCGGACTGAAAAATTCTCCCAGAGCCGAGATCCAGTCACGAAGGAGGGTGGGATGAATTTTATTTGATGGATTTTCGGCTTGTACGAGTTGTGCTTGGTATTTTGTCGAAACATCAGTCGGCAGAGATTTCACCACCGCAAGAAAGTCGAACAAAAACTCACCACTACCAGCATATGGTTCACGAATGGGCCTAGGTCTGGCTGGGGGTCGTATTTAACCATCTGAAATTTCTCAAACCCCTTATATATTTGCGACGAAGCATTTCTCAGCCGATTCTACAACTATGACCCACCTCCATATTCGTCACACCACCTACCTACACACGCCCTAATGAGGAAAGTGATGATTGGAACAGGGCGTGTACAAAGGAGGAAAGAAAGGGAATATACACTGAGGAGATTACACAAATACCTAATGGTGAAAACAACCCAGCGGTACGATATAAAGGTGCAAGGCCAGAGCAACGATAAAATCTTGGACGGCATTTATATTTCGGAGTCAATGAGAATGTCAAGGGCTCGGGCGCGTGGTGGCCGAGGCTGAGTAGTAATTTGCGCTACGGCGTATATACAGCGGGTTTCTAGACGGTCGGGCTTGGTATGATTCAACACATGGGTGAGGTCTGAGGTGGTCCGTTCATTTGGGTGGGACGACGTATATTAGTACTTCACGGTAGTTAACCTGACCTATCCCGGCCCCACTCGTGCTTAAGCTCCAGTAGGAGTGCGTGTGTCATGTACCTAGCACATAAATGATTAGAACAGAGCATTCCATATGAGATGGAAGGTCAATTATGTTCCCTAATCATCGGCAAATTCTACGTGGCTCATGCCTGACGCTCCTCTTCAGAAGATCATGGTGTTCGGTGTTCCAGGAATCTACGCTTAATCATGAGTCCTAATTCCTTGCCTGGACCTTATCGACTAGCTACGGAAGTCATTAGCCTACTAAACATCTAATCTACCCTTTTCTACCAGGATCAGGCGCAATTTTAATTGAGGAAACATTTTTAATGTGTGTGTGTGTGTTGTTGATGTCGCTGGCTCCTCAAACTTCTTCGGACTCCAGAACTCCAAAGCTGTGACGATTCGTCACGATGCTAATGAGGAGGGTGGCCTGAGGCATAAAGGCGATGTTCCCCGCCAATTCCATCATGTTACCCACATTCTTTGTATATAATTTGGGGCAGGTCCCCCGTCTTTCATAGTCTTTTCCTCTCCCTTTAGTTTAATATTCTAAGGATTAATTGAATTACTTTCACACATCGATCATGTCACTAAAGCCCGATCTCTCCGCAATGGAGATGTCCTTGGTTGAGGCAATTATCGCCTCCTCTGCCCTATCGGCTGCTTTTGCAAACAATATGAGCTCAGCTCGGCGAATCGCTTCCAGCTGCTCTCTCTCCACCGGACCTAATTTTTTGGGCCTTAATTGATAATCCCGTGAGACGGATCGGCGAGGTCCTCCACAGTTTCTACTTCTAGTGGAGGCCTCACACTTTTCAGAGTACATTGTTGAACCGCAGTTCAGGTAGGCCGGAGCGCGAGATCAGCCACGAGTGGCGTGGAAGCCGAGGTAGCGATAACACTGCTGAATTTTGCGACAAGACTGGTGCTTTACAGCTTTTCCAGACTTGTTGAAGAGGCGGAAGCCCGAGGTAACCGTTCATCACAGTTTCTGTACGGCGCATCAGGATGAGGCATCCCATGTGGTCGCACCTAGATTGGCGTCAGGTAGGGTTTGAAGTTGATCTCGTCTGAGATCCACTGAGCATCAACCCTAGCTGAAAGGGTGAGTGTTTTGAGGGTCGCGGGTACGTTCGCCATCCGAAAGGCTACAAGGTCGGAAGCTTCTGCGAGTTTGGTGTTGACATTCGCCAGGTTCAGAGCCGCATCCGGGAGCCATGCCCTTACTCCGTCTGGCTTGGCGGAACGATCTGGAGTCACCCGCGATGCTCTCCGCCTCATCCTCTAGTTATTGCCGTGCGCTTTCGGTTGAGAGCTTGCGCCACGGTTGGTCGCTGTCGAGGCGGATTAAAAGTCGTCTATCGACCCGTACAAACATACAAAACAGTAGTAACTCATATTGATACTCTAGATTGCGATGGATAGCAGATATTGATGGTGTTAATGACAGTGCGGGGCTTGGTCATCGTTGACAGGGATAGGGCATGTGTATATATATATCGAGCACTTGACTCCCATTCAATATGATGACGCTTCCGACTACATTCACAATGCCCGTACCTACTCTGAGCTAATCACCCCTTTTTATGTGGATCTTACAATAAAACTTATATTTTTTCGCCATTTTAACTTAAATGACAGGTCATGATATTCTTCGTCTTGCTAGCCATCATCAAGCTCAGAGTTATTGACAGATTAAACCCTTAACAGTCATATCTAGCGCGACGGCTGTATACAAAATGACAAAGGCGTGTTAGAGTAGCCAAAGGTTTTTCCTATTTTCCCTTCGGTGGATGTTAACGGTTGAGGGAAGGCTGAAAGCCCCAAGCACAAAGGTCTCGAGTGGTATCAGCTAATGCATCAACCACATGAATAGTTCAAATGTCAAACTAAGTTATCGTCGTATTTAGTCGTCGGGGAAGGACTAGCCTTCTCCGTGTCATACTATATGAGTGCTTGGCTTGTGCCCGTCATGAACAACTATTCATTCATCCAAGGCCTGGCCTATGGCGAGTTTGAGTCACCAACCTGGCTATCTCGAGTCATCGACAGGATCGTTTCCTTGGCTCTAGAGTTCTGTATCTCGCCCCAACCCCTTAACACAGGCCGATAGGTCGACGGATACTCGCTAATTTTCCTCAACAGTGGGACAAGCTTCATACGAACATGAATCGAACACAACTAATGCTTGTTCTTGATCACTCAGCACATCTACATATCTATCCCTTCTATTTCATTCAGTTTTGAATGCGAACATGACCAACGCCTCCAATGTCACGATTTTAACCCAGGTAGTAGACATCACGGGAGCCCAGACTCAAATAGATATATTATGATCTATACAACAGGGACAATGGCTTGAATCAAAGTCCAAATAAAGATTAAATGTACGCCCTAGACTGAACCCGAGACCTTTTCGATCAAGATGTTGTAAAAGGCCTGTCGTGTGCAGTCCGATACTGGCGAGTCAACGGGGGCTAATTCTAATCTCTGGTAGCTTTATACTTACGTCATGGAGTACAAGTCAACGATATTTCTTAAGCCCAATATTTAATTTGGATCCAACGCTCTAAGCGACTACGGTGTCTAAATTTTGAAACGGGCTCATCAAAAAAATTAGACTAGTCTTTTATTCAATCTTTTTCGATACTCCATGCGACACCCGACCTGCCGTCAAACTCAAGCAGGTCTACTCAGAAAGTCCGATCCGTAAACTTGCTATTATCAATACAAAAATATATGTACGAAAAATCACTGAAAACTAAAGTTCCCTCCAACTAATCAGACAACAACGTCGCTTAACAACTCAGTTGCACCGAAATGGTGGGCATTAATTGCGTGTTTGCATTTCTCCTGAATATTCCAGATACGCCAAACCCAAGAAGCCGCATGGCAGTAGTAGGGAATAGGCCCCAGGATAACTATATGCTTTTTCACATGACACAAGGACAGGAATTTCCCGTCCTTACGACGAAAGAAATTTTTATGATGCCATACAGAAAGTCGAGAAAGAATACATTGCTAACATCCTACTGTTCATTTACTCTTGGTTTATCTAGGATCTTCCAATCCTTTGAAGAGCAGCTTAGTAGGGTGAAAAAGATTGAGGACTTAGATTTTAAAAGAAGCGGTGATGGATATGAATTGTGTAAAAAAACAATATGGGAATGGTGGGAGACGAAGAAACTAACCGAGAAAAACAAAATCAACCCAATCGGAATGGATATACTCGTAACACAAAGAATATGCTCACCATCACAGATTACAAGATTAGGCCGTGAAGACAAGCTACGGCTCATTGGAGATTACAATTGCTTTGCACCATACCTGACTAGACATGTGCCTGTTATCAATGCGGATTTGCGTTTAAAATTGAAGGATATTGTCTGGGGATCTCAAGCATTTATCGGGAAAGGCAAAGGGCCAGCGCACGCACTTGTATGGTATCAAGGAAATCTTCATGTTTTCCAGTGGAGAGAAAGAAATGCCAGTCGGTGGTATCTTGTCACTAAGATCGGCACAGAGAATAAAAACGGAAAAGCAATATTTGAACTTGTCATGGACAATTCCAAGAAATTAATAATCGTGCAAAACAAACTGGAAAAACATGAGATGGGCAGTCCTCCGGAGAGCTATAAATCCAATATTCAACTAGCTTGGAAGCATATACTTCAGATACATAGTGCAATAGATACTTCAGATAATCGATTTGATACTTTAAGAATGGAAAGGGTAGATGGGAAGGTAGCATGCTTCGAAAAAGACTTAACGAGTTGATTTAAATAAATGACCCCTTGATGCGTATTTCAAAGTGAATAAATGGAATTAATCCAATTAATTACATGATCAGAAGGGCTAATTATCGTTTTGTAACAACCTAGTATCTATTCTTATAAAAAAAAGCAAACTCGACTTATAATGAATTGTCTAGGGTATGAAAGTTGTGTGGCTCACAAATATGAGGAAATAAGCATCATAGTTGGTTCGGCTTTAGTACATCGCTATGTGGAGTAGAAGCGTGGTGGCCAGATCTTACCCGAATCACAACTTAGTGGGACATAAAGGTTGGTACAGGAGTAGGTTGGCACACTGATCTCCTTGACAGCACAATCCTGAAGGCAGTTCGAGCGGCGCTACAGGTGTGGCGAGCTACACCAAATGTAGCGCTACACAGAGATTTGAGCATCCCCCCTGGTCTGCTATTATCTTACAGCAGAGAAAAATGCTAGCGGTAGCACCGATTCGAAGGTTGGACGCATAGCAGCCATTAGTATTCATGTCTAGTGAGGGCCCAAAGGATACAATAAGCCGCCTCGGTCTCCGCATAGGTCAGAAGAACCGCTCATTCAAGTTCCCAGAACGGTACCTCACGCGACTTCAGATCATCGCCAAAAATGTGCCGTTGGCCGAAGGACCCGAAAAATTATACTCCTCAAAAGCTGAGTCCATCAGAAAAATTACTGGCGGGGACTTTCAGGACGAAGTAGCTTACGCTAAGCAATGGATAGCAAGCCTATCGGCCGAGATAGTTTGCGCTTATTCAGACGGCTCATCATATGGACCAGCTAGGTCTGCATGGGGGTATACCTTATACAAAAGAGGCCAGGTGATTGGGAGTGACTCTGGTCCATTAATTGTTGGAGATGGTGACACGGAGTGTTGTGGACGTATGGGCCCTCTATTTCGTCTAGGTTCCCGACACGATCTTGTGTGTATGTAAGAGGTCGGAATGGGCAATATGGTAGCGCTTCAGGCTACCTATTGGAGACATGAGCGGCTGTATGGCGTGGGCGCAAGGAGGTTATTGGGGGTTTTCTATGCCTAGATGGCGCTACACTCGTTTATGCTGTGGCTTAGGCTCTGTGTCGCTTACACTTGTACTTGTAGCGCATATCTCCCACACTTTTAGCTTTAATCCGGACATGACACTCTTTTAGTCAACTTCTACTTTCGTTCCATGAATATTGTGCCCATTTCATTGCGCGATATTTCCAACATTAATAGGGGCAGAGGTTTACGATGCCGAAATCTTTGGGGCCCAAAAAGCCCTGGAAGGAGCCATGGTAAAAGCAGGCGACTGCCCGATAAAGGTGCTGCTCGACAACTCCATAGCCGTGAGAGCTCCAAGAACCGGCCAAACGAGATCTTCCCAGGCTACAGTGGAAATATTCACAAGACTGGCACGAGAAGCCAGATCAGTTAAAATCCGATGGATACCAGCCCATGCTGGGATCATAGGGAATGAAGATGCAGAGATACTGGCAAAGGAAGCCCTCAGGAACCTACCGGATGAAATGGACACATCTCCCTCAGAAATGAGGGATAGACCTAAGTACACTATCGAAGCCCTCACTTGGTTTTGTAGGTAAAGATGTGAAGAAACAGTGGAATCCTAGTGGCTAGATCACAGACCGAGCCGCTCCGAAGAATTAGATCTCCTGATGAAACGAAAACGTCCACCGGAGCTAGCACTTGCGATTTGGGCGCATCACCGCCTAATCGCAGCAAGGGCGGGATATGGCGATTTCAGAAAATACCATGCAAGATTTGGCCACGAATTTGAAAACTAAAAATGCGTGTGCGGAGGAGAGAAACGTCCTTGGCATTTTGCCGAATGCCGGATTGCTCTACAGCAATGGAGAAACTCGAAGCATAAATCACTACCGAAAGGACGGGAGATGCCGGTAGAAAAGAGTTGGAAAAGATTTCTCCATTTCTTATCAGTAACTAAGTGTTACGAGAAGCAGATACCACACAGGGAGGACAAAGTTCTGTCGAAATAGAAGTTTTTCGGGATAAAGAGTTGTGAGGAAGGAGGAAAGGCGCAGGGCGCTTAATTTGCTTGGAGTCAATTCGTTATTTACGTTTTGCGTATAGATTTGACAAGCAAACTATGTATTTAGGTTGAAGTGTGTCCCCAGAGAGCATAGAACCGTATCACGCCTATTGGGTGTAGTGCGTAAGCCTGATACGAAATGAATTCAAATCAAATAGCTGGTTCGACTATCGTATCACAGAATACACTATTCTCCTATATTCATTCATTTCTCTAGTTTAACGTCCTAAGCGGTATCTACATACAGAACCATGAAGACGCTAAGCCGCTTTTGTAAGGGAAAAGGCTTTCAACAAACAAAACCCGATATCCTGCCACTCCGAACCGACTCGGCTTAATGCTGAGGCCGTTACTTTCAACCACAATTGTATAAAATTTCCCCAGAATTCATTGACTCCCCTTCAATCAGACTAACGTTGAGAGAAATTAAATAGAGAAGGCACCTCCTCACTCGGCGTTGGTCGTCGAAGTGTTCCAAGGGTTGGCCCCGATGGTGGTGCTACTGTCGAGGCGATGATTGGTGCCACTGGGGCTTCGACTACCTTAAGTGATCGTCCTGGCCCTCTTTTGAGTCCCTCAGCCCTCTTACTGGTGACCAAAGTGAATCCCTGCTCATCAGTTGGTCCGACTGTTCGTACTGGCGCCATTGTTGGTTTTTCATTCCATATTTCCGCCGTTCTCGATAGCAGCTCTATCCGAGCCTTCTCCACACTTCCTTTGTAGACTTGGTAAGTCCGACAAGCTGCTTTTTGCCACGAACCGTGTTCCTTGCCGCAATTTGCACAGGAAACCCTTTTCTTCCGACAGTCCCGAGTTCGGTGAACGCCTACGCACTCGCCGCATCTAGCTGCCTTTCCACACGACGCCTGCGTGTGTCACTACCGGCTGCAGTTATAACAATGCTTTAGCTGAGCTCGTGGTGACCACACCTGAGAGGTGAAGAGCATGGCATTGATAAGAAGGCCCTGTCGAACCACCTCCGTTTGTATTGCCTCTGATGGGAGGCTGACCATAATTGATCCGCGATTTCGACCGTTTTTCTTCGATTGCTGGTATTCCATTCCGTCATGGAGCCATCGTATTCTGTTAATTATATTCTCCTATATGTGGTTAGTCAGTTTATAAATCTGTGTTCTGTTTGAAATTTGAATAATTGGAGCTATCAAGTAGGCCACGTTGTTAAAACACACGTGACTACAAATTCTGTACTGAGTATCACTTCGATGATTACTAGAATCAACGCGTTCTGCAACCTCAGTGACTGAGGGCTCATTATTTCCTTGATAATTTCATTGTTTTGCATCAGGTTTTCATTGCGTATACAGCCATCTAGCTACGACACAATGTCAGAGTTACATTACAGAATAGACGGCTCAATTTCAAATAAGAGCACTCATACCTCGGATTTCATATGCAAGCACTACTGTGAAGTTTTGGCGGCTCTATCTTCACCCCAAGTCAGCCCTCATCCGTGAATAATCACCCATGGAAACATCTCAAAAACCCTGAGTTATCCAGACATGCCACCATCATCATTCACTTTTATCTGCGCGAGATGTGGTCCGAAGCGTCTCCTTCTCAAGTGGAATAGTTGCCCTATCTACTCCAACTATATCGGAGAACACTAATAGGACGCGTGCCACGGCGCCTTCCATCGTTGGCTTGTTTTTTTAAGTGGTAGCTGCACTCTTGCAAACGAAGTTCTAGCACACACAAAGCTCAATTCGGGAAACTCCTTGCTAACTTTCACACCCATCAACATTGTACTCCTCTGCATCATCTTGTAAACCTGTTCAGAGCTCTCTCACATCCATCCCAAATTACCTCGTACGTGTGTGTGCCACGCTTAGTTTCCTCCGGCAGGTATAAATATCAGCGTGGGCGTGTATTTGGTGACCAGCTGAGGCTAAAGAGGGTCGAAGAGAGGTTTGGACACTGATTCGAGGATCTACATTACTGTACTTGTAAACTTGCTGAGGTCTTGGTGGGGATCGATCTCGTTGGGTGGGAGCAATTGGTTAGATGGAGAGTCTTGAATCATTGCCTCATGGGCAAACTTCTCTGGTATTGCGAAATTTGACTGAACTTGGATCTGGAAGAAGATTTCACTCCCAGGATCGTCGAGGACACCACTGACAGGTGTTCAGCCTTCATCCTCATATGAATCAAAAATTTCAATTATTAATAAATATGAAGCCTTTTTCATTGAGTGCAGGCGACACTATAAATACCGCCATGTTTGGATGGTGCAGTAGTACATCGTCTTGGCCGGTCTGCCAAGTAAAGTCTGGATAGCTTGGACACATATCCCACTCGAGACAGTAGATCGCAGGTTCAAATCCAGCAAAACACAACCACGTTTCTCGCGGTGCTGGTATGCATGGATAATGAAGACATGCTTGGATAACCAAAGGTTTTGAAATTCCCTTTGGTGGGTACTTATAGAGGAGGGTCGACTGTTTGTGTAAACGAACATACCTCATAGTGGTATTTGCGAATGAAATCCAGAGTATGAGTGTCTCTAACGTCAAAAGAGTCATCCCACATGTATACATAGCACCGGTCATATGTCATAGCTTTATGGCTGAATACACATTAAATGATTTAAAAAAAACGCTCCTTGGACGAGACGAGTCTAGGTGATACATTACGACACCGTCTTGCACTATTATCGAAGTTCAACCAGCACCTATGTACATGGAGTTGAGGCGTGCCTAGTGCAGCTCTACGTTGAATAGAGCTTCCTCATACGGTATCTCCATTGCTCTCGAAATAATCTGTGTTTGGAGCCTCATTACATCCACGAATTCCGCTCCTTAAGTTCTTCTTTGGCCGCTTTCGCCTTATCCTCTAGCCCTCGACATGCATGCGCATATTATATCGAGAGCAGCTACTACGAGGGTTTGAGCCGGGCAGGATTCTTTGCAGGGAGAAGAGCTCGGCCTCTGTGCTACTTATAGTCAAGACGAGCGCCAGACGTTTAGTCTTATCGAGAGCGTAGAGTAGAAGTAGTAGAAAGCCTTGAAAGCTGATCTCGTCGGCCAAAGACTTGTGTAATGCGAAATCCAACAGCAGCTCAGCCGTGAGAGCATAGGTCACTCTGCGAGCCCTAGTGGCCACTGCATCAGTTATTCGGCCTCTACTCTTCTCGATAGAGGATCTGTGTCTATTTCGAGTCCACCCATCAATCTCTTCATTTTTCAGCTTCGCCTTCCCAGTAATTTTACAAACCTAGTTTTTCAAACATAGCTCTAGTAATAATAATAGTAAGGTATGACAAGAATGGAAAAATCACTTTGATTTAAGAAGCAGCCTTTGAAACAAGGGATCTTTCTGAATACCTTCGATCCTAACCAAACTTTTACTAAGATTTAGGTGACAACTGGTTGCGTAGGATATTTTTTCTCGCTGACTTGACTGTCAGAATTAGGCTCTATTTCGCTGGCTAATGGCTTCAACGAGCCATCATGACAGAACACATGGCCCGAGACCATCATCATCTTTAAGCTGTGGTGAACAAACTTTCTCATCTTAAAATGCTTGAAGATCGAGATGCGTATCACCTGCAATCTACTATGTGATTTACGCCCAGATTTTACCTGGAAGCTAGACTTTTTCTCCTCCAACATGGATTTGAAGTTCTGAAAAGACTCCACATTTTTCGATATGAAGTCGTAGATAACTTTCCCGTTATTTTCTTCGTGACCGATAGAACTTAATTGATACCAGTAGCTCCCAAGTCTTGACAGGCTCTGGAATATATGCAGATGACCCTGATACCAGACAAGTGCATGCACCATATCATTTACCTCTTCACCATAGAAAGCCTCTCTATGCCTTGAGTCTTGACTTAATTCCGTCTCGCTATCTGCGTCGATGGTTATTTGTTGAGCGCCGGAGTACGGGGCAAAACATCTATATTTTCCCGTAACTTTCACGCTTCCCTCTGCAGCTAACCTTGCAATGTGTGCTTTTGTACACTGGTAGTTGAGTTGTATAAATTTTAAACTGATGGGTCCCCGATGTAGATTCCTATGATCTACGATCTTCGTATAACAATTTGAAAAGCTGCCACTGCTAGCCTCGAACTCCAGGTCGAAAATTCGCCTTTTCTTCGTTAGGTTCACAGATATTTCACTCATAATGCTAGCCATATCAAGGATATATGAGCAGTAAGATGTGATTGATGTTCCTTCTTGCTCTGCTTGATATTTTGCCATTAATATAGCTTTATTTTTTGGCGTGGGGAAGAGAAGGCTCGGTGGTGGTTCGTACATGGCATAATTGTTCTCTGCTGCATTCCCCACTAATACCAGGCGATTTGTTTCCTTGGGAAATTGACTGCTAAGCAGAAGAAAGGCGAGAACACAAGTGACACTGGACATTTCAGGCTTTAACCGATGGTCAAGAGGCCGCCGTGTACGATGGTTAAAATAGAATTGGAGTCGTTGTCGTATTCTCTCGACAGCCTGCGGTAGAACACACTGGTCCAATGAGCGGGCGGTAATCTGCTTAGTCGGAGCTCACCTACAGAGCAAGTTGCTAATAGGATAGGCCTCTGGAAATGTTGGGCGGCTGGGTGAAGTTATCCGGGACACACTGCGAAAGCCTCGCAAACTATAGACTGAACATCGGTTCAACGTTGGATGGAAGAGGAATCAGGAGTGTCCATTTTCTACGCGCATTGTATGATATACTCGGTAGATTATGGTAAATGACAACATTGTTACTGTCGACGCTTGGCTATCAAGAGCTGGCCAATCTCCGGCCTACAATCAGCCTTGCACTGAGTCAAGCAATCTGCTTTGTGCACCTTTAAATACGAATCATTCAGTGGGCTTAAGAGTGCTTTATGGTTATTTTCTTTTTTGAGTCGAAGAATTTATGTATTTGGCATGCATTTAGAGCCAAGTATACCTACCACGGGTCGAATACTCACGCTTATACCACTCTTGTAGCCCCTTGGATGTATTCATTTGATCGTACATTCGGAGGCGTGACTCTCTCCGTGCAAACGCCAATGGGCAGACCATTTGCGGGGGAGAGATCGCACTAAGTCTAGGTTCATATTCCTACTGAGTCTATGGCTGTGTGTGACTACGGCCGGTGTATGGCAGCCGGAAAACTCCAAAGAACCGCGGATTGCGGGACTCCCCTTGCACGGACACCAGGGCACGATTTGAAGATGTGGATGTCTCTTCGGAACGATTTAAGAGTCCGACAAGTCAAGGCTACAAACCCATGCATAGGAAAAAGTGGACTGAATTTATATGTAAATGTGTCTTATCTAGGTGGCTAAGTACTCCATGAACTAAAAGACGTTTGCAAATCTGAGAGGCACTTCTACCTCCCCAGTCTCTTTTCAACTCCCCTCATTTACGCGATGGATCAAACCGATATCCACATGGAAACCGTAGAAGAAATTGGAAATGAAGACACAGAGTGTTGTGGTCGTACAGGCCCCCAACACAATCTCGTGGGTAGGAAAGAGGTTGGAATGAGCAATATTATAGTGCCTCAGGTTACCGACTAGATACACAAGCAGCTGTATAGCGCGGACACAAGAATGTCAATAATTATCATAGCTCAATAGCTGAATACAATATGAATTTAAAAAAAGGATGGCAATAATTTATTGGATTACTTGTCGGAAAGTTGTCCAATTTGCTCAACACTAACCGTAACGTATCTCTCAGATGCTGAGTCATTGTCTTGATGACTCAGCCAATACCATGAGCTACACATTCGCAATGTTCATAGATAGATACAATATGATACAGGAATCCATACCTCACTTTCGTACCTTTCGTTTTGCATTGAACTAACCTTACATATACGTAAATTAAGACCAATCTACATTACTTGAGTTTGTTACTATCTGGCACATTGGCCGCCTCTTTGGCCCAGGTCGCGCCTTTAACGGTGCTCGTTGGCTCTTTTATTACTTATAAGATCATTTTTATGTTGCCCGTGATGAATAGCCATTCAGCTAAGTATTTACCCGTGGAATTCAGCCACCTTTTCCACGGAACCTTCTACCCAAAAAAAAGGGAAAAAGCCTCAAGAAACCTCAAAAACCTGCAGCCCCAGCCAGGCAAGGCCTAGACACCGGGACCACATCAGGTGCGCATGTTCATCTATATCTCCCTTCTTTGTAACGGTCGAGGCCGACTTGATTCAATTCACAATCTCCGTGTCGGGTGCTAGGTCTGCTCCGGAAAATCATCGGATGGCTTTTCCTCCATGATCAAGGGTTGGTGATGAGTAGGGCTTCGACCCTCGCATCTGATCAGATGGTGATCAGCTTCATGATAATGTTGATAGGGGAATGTGTTGAGAGATGAAGATGACACAGACAGCGAAAGCGAAAGCGATTGGGAATCTTCGTCGAAGTGGGGACTTTGTTACTCGATCTCGGCTCTGCAGACTCTATAGTAAGAGCTGGAAGTTCATAGGGGACACCACTGACAGGAGTTGAGAATAGTCTCCCTGGTGTTTCCAATCACATAGCCATCATAAATTTAAATATGTATAAATAAATCAAGCATTTCGAAGCCCATTATCAAATAGTTTCCCAATTGTTTATATATATTTAAATTTTTCACATTTGCAAATATCTTTTTATATTTATATATTCAATATTTTTAAAAACCATATGGGCCGATTGGTGTAATGGTCAGCACGTCGGATTCTGATGAGTTATCATTCCGGAGATGCTGGTTCGATTCCTGCATGGGCCTGGATGGCGTGAGAATTTTTATCCAATTTGATCGGAGTATGGTTTATCCTTTTGCACCAGATTTTAATTGCGTATGCAGCTATCTAGCTATGACACAATATCAAAGAGAAGTACAAAATAGATGATTCAACGTAAAGGAAGAGCACTCATGCCTCAGATTTCATTTACAAGTAACACTGCGAGTTGGTGAACCTTGAACATTTCAAGAAATACCTTTCATGTCACTATCTTGTTCTATCCGTATAGTTTTAGCAGTCCTTCATAGTCACAGACTCAGTAGGGACTCAAATTAAATTCTATTCTATTACCGACAACCCTCATCCGTTCCTGTATACTTTAAAGAATAATTTCAGCGTGAAGTTGCGCGTACCTGCCAGTGCTGTTCTGAGTATTTCTTTTATCTAACTTTTATCGTGTTCAGCTATCGAGCTATGGCAAAAATAGTATTTACTTTGACGTCGCGCGAAAAGGAATTGACTCTGCTAGACAATCCGTAAATTTCTCGTTTAAAGTGCGTTCATGCACAAGCTAACTTTACTTGAGAGTCTTGTCTAGATGCTGTCACATGGCACCGTATGACTATGGGAGAGGTTTGTTGGTTTGATTTCTTTCTCATCTTCATGCCCTCGAGCTAGGCGTGTGTCGTAACAGGCCGTAACGCTTTTCCGCACAAGCACACTGTCGCATCATCCCCGGTAAGTTTTTCTATCATGGATACTAAGTATCTGATGGGCAACAGATTGAATTAGGGCTTGTCTATCCCTGACTTTGTACTTCACGTAGTGACAGTTACATGATTGAATTTGACAAAAATCTTGATCCCAGGCCCCACCGTTAATTGGATGCGCCCGTTGTCACATCCAAGCCTCAATTTTCCTGTCTTTATAATTGAATCACGATTCTGATGTTGCGCTTGGATTATAATTTCTGACAGATCCGATCGTCGTGACCAAGGCCAATTTGGTCGCAGCTTTCCCAGCACTCGAATAACTGCCGGTGAAGAGCTACGATGGTCTGAGGAGATTCATATCTTCATGAAATCTTTGTAGCACTCATCCTGACTGAATAATATCATTATCCTATTCTTCTTCTCTGGACCGCAGACACGAGATGGTCTAGAGTTGCTATCGTTAAACCTGATTTAGAACACGCCCTGTTCATTCGAATGTCTTCCACTCCAAAAGCTGAAGTTCTTTCTAGGTCCAAGGCTTAGAGGAAGACTGGGCATGCGAGTAGAGTAGGTGTTAACAGATTAGCGAGTAAATTTCGGCTGATGGGAAACGCTTCCATCTGATTGACACAAGTTTGCATTTCACATATCCGTGCCAGCCCTGGCACTCATTCCCCATGACAATCTAGGGTTTATTAGCCTCGGGCTCTGTAGAGGAGCGGTTCATCGATGGAATCCCCAAGCCGAGCGTTACATTTGCGCGTACATTGAATTTACCTACACACTCTTGCTGCAAATTTGAACTACCTCGCAGCTTCGAGGACTAACGCTGATAGTGGCATGATGCCAGAAGCGTAACGGCGGCCAAGAAAATTTGTTTTTTATTTAACGTCGTGTCAGCTCTCGATGCAACCCCATGCTCCTGTGTTAGTCAGCTCGGTCCACGTAAGCTACCAGACGTAGGCAGGCAAGTAACGTTCCTGTCAAAAACCGCATTCATTGCAAGCCTCGGTTCGACGAACATAACTGTGTTGCGCCACGTTATAAGCCCGGCCTGGTCTCTACTCATGGTGTTGTACGTGTTCAACAAGAACTACGGTGCACTCTGGCGGCCTTCGATGACGTACTCGCAAGACCACTTGCCAAAGCTGTGCCTGACGTGACCGAGACCACCGTCGATAATTTAGCGAATCTTATGCTGGGGCACACAAGCATGGTTTGATCCGTGGGTCAGGGAGCGTTTCTGGGGCAGTGCGAACTGTCTCAATTACATTTTTATTTCGACGAGCCATATAGTTCCCCTGAATCTGCACCATCTCCGCACAAATATTGTTGGTGAAAGCAACAATCATGCCGAATCACTTCCGGCATGAGCATGGTTATTTTATGCGAAGGCTATGAGTGCACGACTGGGAATTTAGTCTCATCAAAATACATTTTGAAATCGGCACAGCAACCATTATGGAGACCGGGATAATTTCAACTTCGCTTTCGCTTTCGCTCGCATACCACCTGACCCTAAGCGAACCTGATTCGCAGTTGGTCACGCGGTCCATGCGAGTTACTAGGAGTTGCTTCTGCATCTAGCGAGACTCTGCCGATGAACTATAATATTAAGATGAATGCACTTGCGCCCCGTACCATGCATGCGTACCCGCCAAAGGAGAGGCCAATAAACCCATGACTACTCGCAAATTTCCGTCTCATCTCCGACCACCAAGGTCAAGGAGGTTGCCGCACGAGATGGGTTACGTGACGCAACTCGATCTAACCCCTCAACGAGGCAGCTCGATTGCCGAATACTTTTCGCTAAATTCACAGCCCCTCTCCGGTCGTGATCGGAGAAATATTCCCATCACCATCGCCCATCGCCGTGGCCAACCAAAATCCATTAATTTCACATCTCGGCCCGGCAATACTCGGGAAGTGCACGAACTAGCGCTACGAAATTTGAGACAAACCGCTGCCAAATATTTGTTGGCGGGAAGGAGGCGCACTGGCAGATATCAGCGAACTCACGTTCAGCCTCGTTGCTCCTATCCCATCCCCCTCGCAACGACGCCAATTCTCAAAGTTACATCGATAATCCCGTTATGGAAGTGTAACGTCCATTTTAAAGAGACTTCTGCAAAGCTTAACTTCCCCCAGACTTACGATCCTGATCATACTTCATAACAGACAATTCTGGCCGACGGCTTCCGCCTGCTCGTGTAGAGGATACCTCTTTACACCAGCCTCTCTCCGCGGACTCGATTTACTTCCCGGTGAAATGTCTGAGCAGGTTTGGGATCGTTTATGGAGCCAAAGAGAGTGGATGTCTGTGTACGGAGACGTGAAAATCTCGCAACGGCGACTGTATGTGAGCCTCTCCCCATACCGATACCAGGACCGAGCCTAGAGACATCGCTATCCTTGCAGGCTATTGAAAGATACCAGGTAACGGGGTACTATAGACCGGTAAAAACGTGATGGTGCTACCACCTGCCTTTGTCGCCTCCAATTGGCGCCACACTTTAAATACAAGGTTGTGACAGAAGACCAGAAGAGTGAAAATTGAAGACTCACGACACAAACTAGCCTGGTCAATCTCGTTAGTGTTGCGTGACTAGTTGGCCATCATTGGGATGTTTCCCGACCCTCGAGTGAGATGCGCCATGTCCGTCCCGACTTGGAAGATGCGCATTGGCTGGTGGGTCCCGATGGCAACAATGCTTAATTATGAAAGTGGTGAAGCATCACTTGGCGCGCGGGATGAGGACTAGCAGTTTGAGAAGGCATTCGTGAAGGCGGGCCTCTCAGTTACTGGACTACAAGATGCTGGCGGCGTGAGAGGGGGGTCAATCAAAACGTTCGGAAGATCACACTCGTCACGTTTAGGAGAGAGGGCGAGGAGACAGAATTAGTTTTACATTATATTTGTTAGGAAAACAACGCGCTAACGCCTGCCACGAGGTCAAACCCACCTCGGCTCTAGCCCCAACGCCCGATATTCCATGTAAAAGCAGCAGTTACAGCTGAACGGTAGTTAGTCGTCGGGTGACTCGGCCAAGAGATCCTCGCAGCTCTGGTAGTCGCGCAATACGTGGCCAGAATTCCCAGGTTGCTCGGCGAGGGTAAGGATACGGTAGCGGCGTTTGCCTACGAGACGCACCGCGATGCGATCGGGGCCAGGCGCGCTCTGTACTATTGGGGAACGTGTCAGCAGCCATCCCAAGAGGCGCGCACTAAAAGGTACAAACTCACCACCGTCAAAGATGTCACCGCTACGTAGAAGAGGGAACGATGATAGCTCTGGCTGGTCGACAAAGGGCCGTGGAAATTCGGAGTCGCCGGCCGTCGCGTTCTGGGCGCCGAGCGCCGTGACGCTGTCTAGGGTGCGCCGGATGTAGTCGGTCGTGTAAATATGGGAGCCGCAGCGCGCCTCGGGCGTTGACGGAGCGAGGAAGTTGCCGACACCAAGTGAGTGGGCGGGAATGGCAATGACTGGCCGAATATTGGACTTGAGATGAACATGGCGTCGGAAGTCAATGGTAATAGTGGTGTTGGCGTCGCTGCTGCAGTTCGGCGAGGTCTCGCAGCTGCGTTCCAGATCCGGCAGTGCCGCGGCTCGCGCGCCTCCAAGGCAGGCGCCAATAAGGGCGGCGACTATTAGGCGCCAGCGGCTGAGGTGCTGGCTCATGACTAGGCTAAAGTGATGGGAAGAGAAGAGACAACGAGCGACGAGCGACAAGATGGTTCAGCGAGAGTATGAGAGTTTGGTAGGTGTAGACGGAAGAAGCCAACGACGACGGCGTGAACGAGCGGTGAAGAGGAAGTCTAACTTACTATATATCGCAGTCTCCGCGGCAAACCTCCCGAGGCTCGAGCCATCAAAGCGTCAGGCCGCGTAGGCAGCGTTGGATTCCCCGGCCGATAGACACCACGGGCCCCGCACTTCATCCGGTTTGAGCCAGCACCTGCCTAGGCCCAGCAGGCTCGTCTGCCGCTCTCTGCCGCCCGCCACCTCCTTCGCCGCGCACCGGTGGCCTACGTTGGCATCTGAGTCTGTTATCGCCTGCTCCAGAGCCTTGTTCTCCTCCATGCCCTGACCACCACGCTTCCCTGAAACTCTAATTTCCACTTCCTCGTCCATTCCCAAACCGCCACCGTTTCATACCCCTACCACTACGCTCAAGCTCTCATATCATCGGCTGGACTAGAAGCGCGTTGCATCACTTATCGCGTGCCGTCATTAGTATGAGATCACTGCTCCAAGAGGCCCTCAATGCTCTCTGACGCTTAGCATGTGGCTCTCGCCAGTAGAGTGGAGTGCCGTGACTTGATTTCAGTATTCCTCCCATACTCTTCAACTGCGACCATCGTGCCTCACTGGAGATGGGTCTACTACCTAAGTCACGTACCAAAGGAAAATCAGAATGTTAAATGAAATAAATCAAAATAAAATCCTTAGTTAAGAACTCTTTGGCTCTCGTATATAGAGACCATCAGCCTAGTAAACATATTAGATTACCCTAAGTTGGTCTTCTCAGCCCATAAACTCCTATCCGCTCGACGCCCAGTAGCAGCACGGACCCAACGAATCTTGGCCAGCTCTCTACCTTGATTCATCCTCTTCTCGAGTTGTGACCGGCCCTGAAAAGCGAGAAACAATGAACAAATTTCGACAAAAGTGCTACTAACACACACACACAGGAATACGAAAAGAATTAGCTCCAGAGTCCAGTGTGTTGGTCGTCAGCAATGAAAGTTAGAATAGCCATAGATAGAAAGGTATTGGTAATTGTTTATCGGGTGAATTGAATCATAAAACGGACACATCATGTCCAAAATCTTGGTCTGTTACGAATGAAAGAGGTCCCAGGCTTCAGCACAGAGTTTGATGAATTGCTCCCTTTTCATCTGCGTACTCATGGGGCTTTCTCGCCCATTGTTAAATGGTCCGCTTCTTCGACTGGTGCTAGGTCCGTTACCAAGGGGTGGCGATTCACCCTCCTCGTATTCCCGTCTCATTCTCCGCCTACTAGTACCATCCCTATTTGCATCACCGGCTCTACCATTCTTGTTGGAGCGTGGGCTAGGCGGTGTTGGGGGTTGGTGACCACCGTAGTGTAATAGCCGCGGCAGAAGTTCAGGTCTACCGCCTGAAAGTTCCACTTGAGCTTCCTCTGCTGAGCGAGGCTCACGGGGCCGTGTTGATTGTGGTGGCTGTGGTGCAGACTGGTTTGGGGAAGGAAAAGGCGGCCGAGAATTTGAGTGGGATGAATTTGATGTAGAACCATTTGTGGATATTGCCGAAGAACGTTGGTTAGAGCCATCACGGATAGTAAGATTTTCGGCAGCAAATATGTCCATGATAGGCGGAAGGCGATTGCTCGTTTGGATGGCGGGGGCATGCTGGATAGAAGTCGAGTTTGTTGATTGTGTGGAAGAGCGAGCATGTGCGTGGATGTGAGAGGTATTTGATAGGTTTGATGGCTGGTTAGTTACATGTCTTGTAAGAGGTAACGGCTGGTAACGACCAGTGGTGAATGTTTGGTTGAGGGGCGCCGACTGTATGACTCTCTCTTGAGCAAACTCTTCGTGAGACGGCGTGACGATACTTAGACCTGGAGGAGCCTTTCTTTTAGAAGTTCCGGGCGCCCGCCCAGTATTAGCCGCACCAGACTCCGTCCTTTCTTTTGTACTTTCGGCAGCGGCAGCGGTGTTTTCTGCTTTTGCTGATTGCTTATTCATACGAGCCTCGATCAGGTTTCTCTGTTGCTCTCGTACAGATAAGCTTCGCTGTAAGTGATCGCGCATTGTGGGATCTTGAGTATTAAATCCAGGGGACAAGCATGCCAATCCGACCTCCTGAATTCCGAGGCCGTCCATCCGTCCAGTCAATGGACCTATCAGAGGTCTTGAGGTTAGCATCGGATTTGCCGCGTCACTAGGGGGGTTTGCGACTATAGTGGGTGTGTTAGTCGACAGATCTAGTTTCCTAGGTCGATGGCGTAGATCTGGTGATGAGGTTGGTTCTTCCTTGACGACTACTTGCGATTTAGCTTCCTGTCGGGACCTAATTCTATCGTTAGTTGCAGTCTACAAATACAGAAGGTGAAGATGGAAATAGCCTACAATATTGGGGAGTCTTTGGATGAATGCTTTCTTGATATTGTTGCAGGGCTGGTGCTTCCCGTCCGGGACCCGATGTTATTAGGCTTAGGCACCGAAGATGATGTACGAGCTGTGGAGTTGGTCTTCACGTGAGCAGAAGGTGAAGCATGTGTTGTGTCTGCATAGGACGACCGGTCATGAGGTGCAGGTGAAGGTGCCATGGCGATTGTAGCACTCATGTTGACTGTATTGTCTTCTGCCGTTATTGCAACTTCTATTTTGAGCAGTACAGACTTGCGGAAAGATAGCTTGAGCCTTTGAGCTATCTTTTCGACAAGCTACAGCACTGCACAGTCCTTTCCAGCCGATATATCTATTCTCCGGTTTTTTCGTAGTCTTCCCGGTTCGATTAGTTCCGTGCACTTCCTACAGTGGGCGGGCGATGTGAGCGAGGCCGGAGATGGTAGATGGGTTTATAATTTGCGAAATTGTGGGATGTGGAAAGAAAAAGTAGACCGAGTGAGAAATATTTAGGTGTATATTGATAATTTGGTTGTATGGATGGAAAAGAAAGCACAGAGGTGGACTAGGTGCAAAAGTAGCGTGAAATCTAAAATAGTAAGGCTGAGTCCAACAGCGGCTGATGTGAAGAACGATGTAATGGGAGGCGACTATTGGAGATTGTCGAGGCAAGAGATGGCATAAATGTTGTTGACGAAATAGGTATGGGAAAGGTCGGGGCAATAAAAGTCAGACTCGAGCCATGTCCACCTGATTAGCGGGTCCGTCTGGGTGGCCGGTGGTTTTATGTTCGGCAAAGTGAGACTTGTTGTCAAAATTCCGTTTCACTTGGGTCAGTTGGGCACAAGCCAAGACGCCAGGAAAAGGAAACAGGCTAAGTCCGCGCGACTATCGATGTTTGGGGGGCGGGGGGCTGCCGTCTCACGTGATGTTGGCTGGCTCGCTTAACCCAGATAGAGGGCAGTGGATATTTGTAGCGAGCCCACACACTGTCCGAGGCGCAGCAACTAGCTTATTTGACCTGATGTTGCATTTAGCAGTGAACGACAGCGTCTACAACAGGATGGCGTGCGACAAAATCTATGACATGTTACAGAATTTTGACTGAAGAGAACCACAAAGGTGAGGAGAGCAAGTTGACCTGGCACTTGCACTCATGATGATGATTCGATCAAATCTCACAGTCGCATCATATCCTCCGGTAGCTCACTTTACAGGAGTTTCGTTTACGGCTAAGGGCAAAGGAGATAGAAGGGTGTTTCAAGCTTCCAAACTTGCAAGTTTGCAACCAATCGTCGATTTGCTCCAGCTGATGTTTCGGAGCAACTTCTGCTTAGTCGAGAGACAGTGGGTAACATCACAATTCTCATCATGCTACGATTGCAATAGACTGTGCGCCATGATAGCATTCAGTGAAATTCTTGCTGGCTGAGTAAATGTGTCACCGTCGTCTGGTCTTTAATCTCCGGCTTCCTAATTTGTGGCTGCTGGCATGATAAGCGCCCACGAGAGCGAAGAGACTGCAGTCGAGCTTCTCTGCCGTAGAACCTTGGGGTTTGGCTTCTCAATCAAACATCTGCTGCAAGGGTCACCCTTCCACTCGCGATAGCTTTTGGCAGATATGCGCATGCAACGTCTATCTCTCGTGCTGTCGATGAAAGACCGGATGAGAAAGTTAACCCGAGACCAACATCCGCCATCAGTTGAGAACGGGCGCTACGAATAAACTATCAGATTGCAGGAGCACCATAGAGTTTGTGACGGGCGGCGCAACTTTTGCCTTCCTACATGGTCCATCCTAGAATTCTTTGAGCGGGGAGTGGAGAACGCGATATTCCTTCGAGATAGATCGCGACATGTAGAGCCTAATGCTGTTAGTATTGTGCTTTGTGTTCGTGGAGAGAGAGCGTCGAGAATGAGGCCAGCTAGCTCTGAGCGATTTCTGGGCCTGTAGAAACAATTGAGACTCGGCCATCCCAATGCAACTAGAGTAACCGACTCCCGAGCTGAAGTGGCATAGCGTTGTGCCCTGGCCCAACCTACCAACAACCCTACGCAAGCTGCGTCAAGTGAGAAGAATAAAAACAATAATAATAATAACAGTAGATACTACAGCTATAGACACCTCTATGGGTGATCAGGGAGTTTAAATGGCGCGAATGAAATGAAACAATAATGGGATAGACACAAATTATCGTCTTCGGCGGCCCCAAGTTCCACAAACAATATTTCATCCCAATTCCTGTCTTGATCAGTGTAATTCTTTATCTCATCTGCTTTCAATCTTCTCGATATATACAGTGTGGCGACTTGGGGATTATATTTTTTTTCAGAGAGCCATAAAATACCACAATTTACTGCGGAACGGCCGCAATTAAATCGATGGAGTCTATCGCGAATTTTACATGCGTTCAAATAGATTATCTGAAGGCAATCGGCTTGTTTCTGAACAAGGCACGAAAAAGACTGGTGATGGTAGGGACTTGTAGAAAATCGAGAGAAAGAGAAAGACGCTGTGGTCTACTTTAGCTAGTCAGACATCAAGTCGCTAGCCAACTTTACTTACCGTAAACTAGATGAAGATCTATATAAACTAAACTAAATAGGGGTGAATTCCCATGTAAAGGCTTTCACCTAAGTTAAATTTATAGATATGGCTGGATGAAAAATAATACAAAGAAATAATCGAAATCCGATAATGGTCCAAAACAGCTTGCCATTGGGGATTCGAGCCGAGCCGATCGAGCTCAGTTCATGGATAAACAGGATGAAGTTACTAGAAGTCTGTTGGCCAAGCTGTTCAAGAAGCCATCAATCAATCGATACCAGATTTATGAAAATTTCCTGTTCTAGATAAATGAATTGCAGAGTAGAGGTCCGGAGAAGGGCCGAATTTTGGTATTTAAAGGCTATGAAAAACAGTGTGGGAAACATCAGAGGGAACATGCGGTGATATCTGGACCACGAAAGTGCGGGGAAAAATCGGACTGTATGGGAATTCCAAAGGAGAGAATTTGGGGTTGTGAAGATATCACTGGACTACACAAATGGCCAAACAGCGCACATGGACTTCCTGAGGGATGAATATGAGACTGAAAAACGAATTACTGGGTTAGATTGGTGCTTCGATCGAGAGAGTTTCTTCCTGTGCAAATGTACAGATTAAGGGCACGTGCGTTTATCCACCGGACGCCGAATTTAGCTAAATGAAATAAAATTGACAATGGTAATAAAAATTGTTTCTCTGTAGTAGGGGAGAGGACAAAATTCACACTGGCTGAATAGTGTAGAATGCATTTCGTAAGGGTAGATCAGACAAGTTGATAGCATTTAAACAGGCAGGATCAGAGGGCTTTCATCAAGTTGGTTTCCTCCTCTGTAAATAATGAAGACTGTCGCCTGCATGGACCCATAGAGTGCCTGATCAAGTCAGATGAAATCAACTTCAAATGATAACTCTGCTCATTGATGCAGGCCTGAGTCGGTGGATGGAGCGAAGTTGCCTTTCCCTTGACTCGTCATATTAAAGCAATACTCAGTGATTATCGCTCTGCTGGCTGCTATCAAATGATAACTACTAGATTCGCCCTATCTCGACCTGTTGCCGAATTGCTTGGAAGGATCGAAGCTTCTGCTTCGAAAATGAAACGGATGCACGCAAGAGTGATCGCCTGCGCTGAGCATAGATGAGGGTTTGGTAGGAGACCTCCTCCCCGAGCCCCTTTCCATATCTAATATTTAGCGAGCGCCGGTGGCTCTTCTCGGGCGCTAACCAAACGACAACATTCATAATCAGCCTAAATATGGCTGTTTCGAAAGTAGGCCATTCCCCAGACTGGACACAAAACGAATGCTGCCGCTCTGAGGTTTCAAAAAGCCCATTCCTCAACAGAGATACCCAAAAGCATATCAAATAAGTGTAGCATAAAGCCATGGATATTAAAAGGTCGTCGAGCCTAATCCTGGAAGGTCATGCCAATTATAAGGGGCTGATTTCAGCTGGTAACGTTCGTCAAATTCAGCAGGCTGTAGTAATGTAGGTCTAACGAGCTTCGCGCAGTCATATAGTCAAGAGTTGGCTTGCAGTTTAAGCCGATTTGATTTAGACTTTTAATTTTAAAAAAAGCCCATCAGCCCCTGCAACGGTCAGACATTGATTCTCATCCGCTCACACCTTCGTCGCTTGGTGGAACAGACGAGACTGTTTCGTCGTGCCATGCAACGGATCCGAGTGGACAATGTACTGACGATGGAGTGGACGCCAACAATCAACAATCAACACTTGCTTTAGCTCGTCCTAATTTCGGGCCATTTATTCATGGGAATGCTTGCACAAGGTACGTACCAGCTGTTAGCTCCAAACCTCAAGGTGCAAACAGATCAGCGCTGATGTCTGCACACAGGGTTTAATTTTTCCCGCGTTTGTGAAGCCCGCGCTTTCCGACCTCTACCGATATGGGGGCGAGCCAGTGGATTATTGGGGCCAGGGGCTGTCGAGACCCTTTGCGGTGCTATTGCAGCAGTCAACGGGTGTACATGTACGTACACCGTTAGTGGTTAATAGCAACAGTGCCCTGCTGGGCCCAAAGCTCCTTGCTTCATGACTGATGAAAACAACTTATCTTACCCACTGCCCCTTTTACTTTGTTAACTTCTTGAAGGGACAGTGTCAGCCTGATGGCCATGGAAGAATTTTTAGAGCCGTCGCATCCTGGCTAACAGGCGTACGCTTGCGGGATATGAAATACTTAAGTTTCGAGCGATGCACAGACTATATTTTGGCTGATTGACTTTAGTTGGCATCATGACGTAGCCTCCTTATCTTGACCTGCCCGCCATTCCAAATGCAACATATCGTGCAGACAGTTGTCTTGAACTCCCACTAGAAAGCTTCCCGCCACTGCCGCCCAAATGGCACCTTCGCTCGACACCAACACCTCTCACTACTATATCCTACAGCAGTTTGTAACATGTTTGAAGGGCGGAGTTGCGCTGTCAATCGCTCAGGGCTTTCAAATTCCCGTTACAACACACTAATCCGCAGTGAGCAAAGCGTACTAGCCTATCCCCTCTACTGGGAACAATGGATCATATTGGGACTATCACATTTTGTTCGATCGGGGTTTTAGAGTACATTCAAGCTTGACGTACAGCCTGCTCCCTTGTGCGCATGGAGATAATCACATCGTTCCCATCATTCACGGGTCCCACAACTCTC